AGAACTTCAACGAACTAGACAACAATGGAAGATATTGTGCAATCAATTATTGCGATTTACTCCCGACGATGCAGCATTTAAAGGCCAAAGAATAAGTATGTTGCTTATGCCGGGAGTTCCCCAATTAACAGAAGCGAGCACAGATGAAGATGCCACATTTGCAACGCGGGCATATTTGATGCGTATGTTAGGGGGATTTCTTTTTCCAGACACGACAAACAGCTTGGTAAATCTATATTTGCTACAGTTTCTGGAAGATTTTGAGGAGTGTGGTGAGTACAGCTGGGGATCAGCTGTTTTGGCCTATTTGTATAGAGCTTTGTGCAGTGCAGCTGAGAACGGGAAAACTCATGTTTGCGGATGTCTGCTCCTTCTGCAAATTTGGGCATGGGAGAGACTTCCAATGGTTAGGCCACAGGGCGTTTTACCGGCACAAAACCGAGGAGATCTGCCACTTGCATCTAGGTTAGTTGTAATAGTAATTTATTAGAAGCAAGTTTGTTTTGGCACAGTATAGTGTTCTTGTACTTATGAAATTTTCCTTGAACTGTAGGTGGGTTGGTCCACATGGTTGGGCTACTGTGGCGAACCACGTGGTTCGTGCATATCGCGACCAATTAGATCGCGTGACCGCAGATATGGTAAGTTAGTTTCTTATTTGAGATCTATTTAATTTAATGTATTAAAGTGTAGAATCATACGACCTTTACTAAATTATTTATTAATGCTTTGTGCAGTTTGTATTTCAGCCGTACCGTCTGGTTATACACGACTTGCCAACTTATTGCAAAGATGGGGAACATATTTGGACTGCAGAAGTGCCTTTGATTTTTGGCTATGTAGTCGAATATTATTACCCGTCACGATTTTGCAGGCAATTTAGTGCTCAACAGGATGTCCCGCCAGACGTGCAGTACAATCAACAGTTGCACGCTATTGATGGACGGACATCTAATGCTGCGCAACAAGTGGACGCTCATGTATATAGGTGGAACCGTCGCGACGAATATGTTTACCCAATGTTGGTGGTGGACAACCCAATTGCCACTCACAACTATCGATTATGGTTCCACACTTACGGTCGTCGCCTCATTGGTAATCCTGAGCACCACCATGATGAGGGTTATATCCAATGTGCTGCGTCATTAAATGACACGGTTAGTTTGTTAATTAATTTGATTATATTAGTTAATTGATTATATGTGATTTATAATATGGTTTATATTTCATGTAGATGCATTTATTGACTCAACTCAATTTGGATATGGAAGCGGCTGGAACGGATCCTCAACGTTAGTTTGAGTTGTGGATGGAATACAGTGTGATCGTGCCTGCGCATGTTGAGCAAGCTGGGTACGGTTTTCTACTGGACTTCCCAAACGAAATGTATAATGCTCAACCCGTGGACACCCCTGTTGAGCCTGGTCGCAGAGATCGACGACGTGAGCGAGATCATCTGCGTGGTCAACCGCAACAGGGCGGGAGGCGTAGTCGTGCTAGGGTAGATGCGGGGATGCACGCTCCGGCAGCTGGAATGCACGAGCCTAATGCAGCGGACAATGTTGTAGGAGGGGATGTGGATCCGCTTGCACTAGCAATTGTTCCGGGACAAACCCACGGTAGCGGTATTAATTTTGGGGAGACCACAAGCACCGACTTTGTACAACACACTTCACCCGTTACATATTCATTTATCTAACATTTGTTTAAATTCTTGTATTATCGCATCGACTTTCAATGCGTGTTCATAATTTTCTTGCGAAATTTCATCTTGCATACATGAAAATATTTCTTGTGTTCGTGAAGATCTTGAATTAAATGGATCGGGAGTTGAATTTTGTGGAGTAGAAGTTGAAGACAATGATTAACTTTGTTGACTTTGTGTGAATATATGCATTATAAGCGATGATAGCTTCATCTTTATATGCGAAAGACTTGTATAAATTGTCACTAAATCCATGAACTTGTGCTTTTGCATTTTCCCAATTGTCATATATTCCGGGACAACGTCCAACGAACACAACATATGTCTTCTTTCCCTGTAATCAAAGATTGATTGTATTTCTTTTAACATAAGTTGATATTAAAAAAAAAAAAAAGTTAAAAAGATTACCATGACTGCAGTCGTTGAGAGGAGATTTGCGCACACGAAATATAGAGGAGAATGGAGAGAGTTTTCACCTTACTGAACAAACAATATATGGAAACGATCATTTGCGATTTCGTGCATGTTAAATAGAGGAGATAGTTTTCGCAAAGAGGACCGCCAGACTTAACATACCAATCTCGCCTATACCTTAAGCAACATTGGTATATTAAATCACATTCCAATAACGCCTACGGTATTGGTGATATTGGACTTTTGGTATCGAGATTTCGAACTGTAGATTTGCAACCAATTCAAAAATACTTACTCCCTTCCAAAAAATACACAAGTAATGCACAATCCATCATAAAATAAATCATTAACAACAATCCCTTAAAAAAAAAAATTACAAAAAAAATACACAATCCATTAGTCATCTTGTGGTTGCCAATAAGTATTATACAACCTTTTAGTATCATAAATTGTGTAGTTTCACAAATGATCATACAACACTTCCAACCCACATCTATCGAATACGATGAGGTGTATCATTATGTGACTAATCTCGCATAAGGCATAGGCGATATTGGAATCTCGCCAGTCAACTTCTCAGTCAACGCCTTTAATAGATGAGACGCCTCATCATCTGACTAATCTCGCCCAAGGCATAGGCGAGATTCGAATCTCTAAGACATACTCAGCGATCTTACTACTCTCGCCTATGCCATAGGCAAGATTAGTCAGACTGGTAACCTCTTTGAATGCTCAGATTGTGAATCTAATAAATTTCATCAAATTTATTTCACAATCTAACCATTATGATAAGTCTCTTCACAATTGGAATCAGTCAGTACATTTTCCACAGACTTTCAGTTTTCACAATTGGAATCCGAGTTTTAAATTACCACGAGACGTCATAAAAGGACTACAAGTGATTATTTTTTAAAACATGGAGGACTATTGAAGGTTATTTAAAACTCGGATGATCACAACTGATAAATCGCTAATACTCGGAGGACCATTGGAGGTATTAACTCTTTGTTAATCTATACCTTTGAACATTAAGATGACAAATAAAAAAATATGGGGTTGTGAGCATGGAAGATGTTTTAATTTGCCAATATATCTTTAGATGAACTAGTATGCCACTCATGCGTTGCACGGTATGAATATTTAATCTAAAAACATAATAAGTCTCAATTAAAATTATATTCCTAATTTATGTCCACATTTTTTGTGCTAATCATTTTGTACATTATGCTTTTAGAGTTGTACTATACAAATTTTTGGACAAAAATACCCTTTGGTTCATGGAATCTTGGATTACCCCAGGTAAATAGGATTACCTCCATGAAGGTAATGTGAGATTTTAGGAATGTAAGATTACCTTATGTGTTTGGTTTGGATTGTGTAATATAATATTACCTTGTTTGGTTAAGGGTTATATTTTAAGTTATATGGATCAATTTACTATAATGTCCTCAATAATATATATATATATATATATATATATATATATATATATATATATATATATATATATATATATATATATATATATATATATATATATATATATATATATATATATATATATATATATATATATATATATATATATATATATATATATTTATATGTGTGTGCATTTATTTATTTATATGTATGAATGTATATAAATGCTTAAATATTTAAAAAAAAACTAAATATATAAAGATACACACATGTATATTTGATTATATAAACATATATTTATTTCATTATTATTATTATTATTATTATTATTATTATTATTATTATATAAGGATTAGTTAACAAGGGCAAAGTTGGAATAATTCAAGGTAATCTAAGATTAACTAAGAAAATGAGGGTAATCACATTACCTTTGAAATATTACCGTCACATCAGCTTTCAGCTAATATAACATTACTAGGTAATCTCATAACTTGAACCAAACAAGGTAATATAACATTACCAGACTCAGATTACTTAGGTAATCTAAGATTACCCGAACCAAACGCCCCCTAGGGGCGTTTGGTTCAGGTTATGTATGATAACCAATGTTATATTTGCTTAGTAATATAAGATTCTCATGTTTAATTAAAATTATGTAATTTTCTCCCGGGAATGTAACATAACCTCCGAATAAAGTTTTAGTTATTACAAGGGAATGTGAGATACCTTCTCTTTTCTTAGGTATTCTCACATTCCTTTGTGGTATTGCTAATTTTGTCATTTTAATCTATTGCTTAAGTTAATTATTGTTCAAAACTCTTACTTAATTAATTTTAAATCATTTACTTATATATTTTACCATTGTCTTATTTATTTATTTTAATTTTAAATTTAATAAAATAGATAAAAATAGGTTAAATTCATTGACTTGTTTAACACTCAATGTGTAGATAGAGTCACGTGGGAGACCATTATATATATTGCGAAAAATGCTACATGTACTCTCAATTTATACTCTCATACACAAAATCTTGATTTAAACACTTGTACTGAGACTCACATAAAAAAAATAATTTATCAAAATCTGTCACATCAGGAAATAAAATTTAAAAATCAAACTCTTTTATTACCTTGTATTTCAGATTTTTGAGCATTTTATATGGCTATTTTGTATTCGACCGTATGGGCTGCTTGATAAGTCAAATCAAATACATAAAGAAGTGAAGCCTTTTGTTTTCAAAAAAAAAAAAAAAAAAAAAAGTGAGATTGAAGATTTCAAAGCGGTTTAGGCGTGCATCATATATCTTCATCCCCTTTTTTAACTCCATAACTTTTTCAAATACCAATTCAACTGTACTAGACAACTTTTTGCAGTTCAACCCGTGACCTTAATTTGGCACGCCAATACCAATGGGTAGGTGGGTTTAATTTGTTAGAAACGATGAACAAATAGCTTCTCCATCATGGTCACAAGTTTTCTTCGTTCATCCTTATCATTAGTGAGTTTCTCCTCTTTAATATAATGCTCTACCTTCCTTTACTCTCTATCTGCCACACTTATTCTCAGAATCCCGGACCTCTCCCCATTCAATGCCATAGCTGTTGAAATGCCACTAAAAATCGGTAAGATTTTACCTTATATCTTTTCCATCTCTACATTTTCTCGATCTTGTAATATATTTTTCTTGTTTTTCTTCATTTTCATCTTTTTCCCTAGATATCTAAAATTTTCCTTTATTTTCTTTGAATTCAGGTTCTTATAAATATTTCTTCAGTTTTAAGGATGTGGTTAAACTTAAAAGATTTTGGAAGCTAGGAATCAGTATTCACGATCGCGATTTCTCTGTATAATTTAAGGTAATTTATATATTTATGTAATTTATATTATTTTTTATTTATAGCACAGTAATTTTTTTCTTAAGCTCATTACATTTTTAAAATATTGTTGTGCATTAGTGTTATTTAGTGTAAAAACACTTAACTAATAATTATGATCTTATACCTAGAGTGTCAAACTATGAGGTGATTTTTCTGATGAGGAAAATATTAATACAGACATCTGTGACGAATAAATGTGACTAGTGGAGTAAATACTGTAACTTACCGTATTTACTTCACTCTTTTTCCAATTATTATATTTATTATGTATTTCTCAAACTTTCTAGGTGCATGCATCCTAAAACAAGAGAATTTTTGAAGAGACTTTTCCTGAGTCAATTTGCTGGCCGGTTGACCGTAAATATAACCTTATACCCACGTTATATTTCATAAATCCTGGTCCTCATAAAACAATTGTTATGCCGTGCAACCGTGTGTACTGTTCTTGGTACACACGGTTGAAAACGGCACCGTATAGTGCCAGGGAAGTAACGGTGCCGTTAGTGGCACCGTTTCACTCATCCCGATATTTAAAAAAAAAATATTATTATTATTGCCATAAAACGCCACTATACTCCTTTTTCCGCCATTTCCAACGTTTCGTCTCTAACAAGCTACACACTTCCTTCGCACTGTAGCAGTCTTCATCTCTCTCTCTGTCTACTCGGAGTCGCGATTTTCGTCGTCTTCATCTCATTGTCGCCGGAGCGTGTTTTGTTCACCATTGTTGCCATTTTCGCCATTTTCATTCTAGCATTGTCGCCTTTTATCATCGCATTCTCCATCAGGTATAATGTATTTTTGTGTTTTTTGACTGTTAACATTCATATTCGCTGTATATTCTTGTTATTTTTTACTAGGGTTTTGCAACACGATTTTGCATTTTTCTCAAACAGATCAATACTCTGTTTTTTTTCTGTTTGTTTGATTGTTTTTTGGTGTTTTCTGAAATGTTTGTGGACAAATAGTTGTGATATTGTGGATATATAGCTTTATACTTGTGGTTTTATAGTTTAATACTTATGCATGTTCGAAAATATCATTCCTGTCTTCAATTAGTGTGTTTCTGAAATGTTTGTGGACAAATAATTGTGATATTGTGGATATATAGCTTTATAATTGTGGTTTTATAGTTTAATACTTATGCATGTCTGAAAATATCATTCCTCTCTTCAATTATTGTGTTTCTGAAATGTTTGTGGACAAATAGTTGTGATATTGTGGATATATAGCTTTATAATTGTGGTTTTATAGTTTAATACTTATGCATGTATGAAAATATCATTCCTGTCTTCAATTAGTGTGTTTTCTGAAATGTTTGTGGACAAATAGTTGTGATATTGTGGATATATAGCTTTATAATTGTGGTTTTATAGTTTAATACTTATGCATGTGTGAAAATATCATTCCTGTCTTCAATTAGTGTGTTTTCTGAAATGTTTGTGGACAAATAGTTGTGATATTGTGGATATATAGCTTTATAATTGTGGTTTTATAGTTTAATACTTATGCATGTCTGAAAATATCATTCCTCTCTTCAATTATTGTGTTTCTGAAATGTTTGTGGACAAATAGTTGTGATATTGTGGATATATAGCTTTATAATTGTGGTTTTATAGTTTAATACTTATGCATGTCTGAAAATATCATTCCTCTCTTCAATTATTGTGTTTCTGAAATGTTTGTGGACAAATAGTTGTGATATTGTGGATATATAGCTTTATACTTGTGGTTTTATAGTTTAATACTTATGCATGTATGAAAATATCATTCCTGTCTTCAATTAGTGTGTTTCTGAAATGTTTGTGGACAAATAGTTGTGATAATATGGATGTATAGTTTAATAATTCTTATTTACAGAAATGGCTCGTGAACCTACACTGGCTGAGGCTTTTAGAGAAACAAAAAGAAGAAGAACAGAGTACCGGACAGCAGCAATTCTAGATTCACAAGCAGCTCAGAGCTCTAATCCAACTAGTGAACAACCAGCAGCAGCCCTAAATTCACAAGCAGCTCAGCGCTCACGCCCTGCTAAGGAAACAACTGTTGCAGAGACTTCAACGAGACGGCGCCGACGAACTAGAGAACACAGGAGAGATTACTTCAATACGAGGATGGGGCCAAAGCTGATGTTTGATCTTGTCCAGAGGCTCTCACCACGACAGAAACAAGCTGTCGTAGAAACTGGATTTGGTGGACTTCTTCATCTCCAACTCTGCACCAATGAATCAAAGTTGGTGCAATACCTGCTGGACAACTTTAATGTTTGCAGGTGTGATTTTGTATTAGAGGATGATAGTCTCCACATTGAAGAGGAAGATGTCGAATACACGTTGGGAATCCCGCGAGGGCCTCTGAAGGTCAATGAGGGGACAAAGATGGAAGACACCTCAACCCGTGAATACAAACTGCTGCTGACTTCATGGAGAAGGAGGTGGGGTATTACAGCAGGCTCGCCAATAACTACACAGATGCCAGATGAGATTGTTAGGAGAGCTGATCATGGTGATGAGTTCAAGAGGGATTTCGTAGTCTTTGCCGTTTCCTCCATGCTTCGAGGAAACACAACACGCTACTCCAAGTACAGGATCTTAAACTCATTGATTGATGTTGATATGATTAAAGAGTACAATTGGTGTGCCTACACATACCAATCTCTCATTGACTCGATAGATAGTTACAATGAAGATAGAAAGAGAAGCTTTTGGGGGCCAATGACATTGATATTGGTCAGTTCTTATTGTCTTTAATCTAGTTGCATGAATTTTATGTAGTTGTACGTGTATAACTAACAATTTATTATGGATATATATGCATGAAACTTGGAATATACTCAGTTTAATAAGATCCTTTATGTAGTTTAATTTGTGGATATATAGTTTTAAAATTGTGGATATATAGTTATGTGATTATGGATATATAGTACTCTGTGAATATATGAATGTATTACTCTGTGGACATACTGTTAATAATTCTGGATATATATTAATGTGTTTTTGGATGTATAGTTATGGGTTTATGGATATATATGCATGACACTTGGAATACACTCAGTTTAATGAGGTCCTTTATGCAGTTTAATTTGTGGATATATAATTTTAAAATTGTGGATATATAGTTATGTGATTATGGATGTGTAGTACTCTGTGAATAAATGTATGTATTACTCTGTGGACATACTGCTAATAATTCTGGATATATATTAATGTGTTTTTGGATGTATATTTATGGGTTTATGGACATATATGCATGAAACTTGGAATATACTCATTTTATTAATATCATTTTTTATTTCTGAATTTTGTGGATATATAGTTTTAAAGTTATGGATATATAGTTATGTGATTATGGACATATAGTTATGCATTACACTGTGACCATGCAATTAAGAATACATGGATAAATTGTTCTAAATTCATCTTTAACATAATCTTCTGTAATTTGTAGCTGTTCTACTTTGATCGAGTAGAATTCAAAGGAATGAAGATCAACAGGACATACCCTAGCATACTTGCTTGGACAACCACGCTTGTAAGAAAGAGAGTCAAGGCTGAAAAAAGGGCTGGTGGGTTTGGAAAGGGAAGGGTTATCCCTAGAGTTAAGAAGCCAAGGACTGATGCTACCACCTCACTGCAACAACCTGCAGGCACTGCTGCTGCTACAACCTCACTACCACAACCTGCATTTACTGCTGCTGCTACTACTTCTTCTACTCCTGCTACTGCAACACCGACACCAACTACAAGTGAGCCACTCTCAAGTGTTGATCGGGTGACCCGTGTGCTCCAAAAGCTAGCATCAGATGTCCTGGAGTTTGGTGAAGCTATGTCTGAAATTGGAAAGCAGGGCGCACCTATTGAAGTCATGAAGAAAGCGTTCTCAGGGATATCAAACATGCTAGGTGCTGCAAGCGCAATTGAATCAACTTCCATTCCAACTGAATCTCAGTTGGATGACATATTCTTTGGGAGTGAAACTTTCACCGCTGCAGTGGATTCATTGGTGGAAGCATTTCAGAAGACAACAAGAACCATGGAATTTGAAGCTCCATCATTTGATTTGGGAATACACTGCAATGAATCGCAACCGCAGCCATGTGAGCAACACACAGAGCAAGTAGTTGAAGAGGACCTACCATTGGATGCTTTGGTTCAACAAATTGGAGAGGATGCAGGACTGTCAACGACCTTGGAAGCACAAGTAACTCCTCCACTTGTTAGGGTCCCATTTCAGAGATATGTTCGTCATGCCGCTGCTACTGATGCTGATGTTGATGACTTTGATTGGTAAATTTACAGTTTGTTATTTGCATTTGGCTTTAACGTTATGAATTTATAGTGCTAAAATTATGAATATAAACTTATGAACATTTTTACAACTGTGGACATATAGCTTTAAAATTGTGGATATATAGATATAAAATTATGAACATTTTAAATCTGTGAATATATAGTTCTATGATTATGTACATATATGTTTAATATTATGGATATAAAGTTCTAATGCTGTGGATATATAAACAACAGTGCCATGCAAGAAAGTGAGTCTGATGTTGATGACGTGACTGTTAGGATGAGACCCCAGCGACGATTCAGGAACAAACCTCTTTGTTTGAGGTCACCATACTGGACACAGAATGCAGGTTTTATACGCACTACAACTCCACGGGAAAAAATCATTTCAAACTATGCATTCTTGAGTGTGTCTACCGAACACCCAGAAGAGTATGTTTGAACACATATATTTATAATAACCTTTAAATTACTTAGATAGTTCATATTATTATAACTATTGGTGTTATTATTATTATTGTTATTTTGGTGCTGTAGTGAGTTGCTGTTCAGCTATGGTGACTACTACCTAACAAGGCGTCACTTCTCAACTTTGAGCAATGGTGAGTTGGATATAGACTTCTTGAATGTTTGGTCTTTGCGGCTAACTTTGAAGAACACAGAACGTGCTGTTGGGATACCAAAACGCGTATTCTTCACCACACTGCCACATGTAAGAGTTATTTTTGACATGCAAATGCGCATTTTTAAAAATCTAGTACTCTAAGCCTTTTGAATACTCATTTTTTGCATTTCTGTGTATTCAAAAACAGCTGCAGCTTGATCCATCTGATGATTGGATGAAAAGTCTCCCAGCTGAGAAAAGGATGGAAAATTTCAATGATAGATTGAATTATGAAATATCAAGTTTTGGAAACCTGGAAATCAGTGATGCAGACCTTGTAAGATCTATTACACACACTTAATTTAATAATTTAAGATTTTATTATTGATATATATGCATGAAGCTTGGAATATACAAAGTTTAATAAGATCCTTTATAAAGTTCTGAATTTGTGGATATATAGTCTTAAAATTGTGGATATATAGTTATGTGATTATGGATATGTAGTACTCTGTTAATATATGAATGTATTACTCTGTGAACAGGCTGTTAAGAATTCTGGATATATGGTAATGTAGTTTTTGGATGTATAGTTATTAATTTGTGGATTTATATGCTTGAAGCTTGGAATATACTCGGCTTATTAGGATCTTTATAAATTTCTGAATTTTGTGGATATATAGTTTTATAATTATGGATATATAGTACTCTGTCAAATATGAATGTATACCCATGCAGTTAACAGTACCTGGGTATGTAGTTGTTTCAAATAATAACCTTTTGTTTTGGAATTAGATATTTTTCCCAGTGCATCGCCATGCACACTACTTTGTTGTGTGCATAAATGTCAAGGAATCCAAGGTTCAGGTGATAGACAACAAGGAATTGCCTGCTGGTGTTTCAGAGCTTGATAAATATGGAGACTGTCCATACAAACTGGTAGCTTATATTATATTAAAAAATCTCCTTATTGTCACCTATATATTGAATTTAAAACATTATGAACATTGAGCTAATTTTTTACCAGATTGAAGCATTCAAGGCGTACCTGGAAGCAGGACAATCCACCTTGACTCACAAACTGAACAGCATGCCAGTAGAGTTCCTTGCCATGCACTGGAAAAATGCAGAGAATGTCACCGACTGTGGCATATATGTAATGCGGCATATGGAGAGTTACATGGGTGGAGCTCTCGAGAACTGGGATCCTGGGTTCAAGAAACATATGCGCACGAATGTAAGAGTAACATAAATATATTACATTCCAACTACATCAAAAAGTGATGAAAAAATTACAATGAACTAGTTATTTATTTTTCTTATTTTACAGGCTAGCTTCATTCTTGAGTTGAGGGCAAAATATGCTGCTTGTATCATCATGTCAAAGCTGAACAGCGTCAAAGGCGAGGTCAAGAAAGCTGCAAAGATTGAAGACAAGAAGAAGTAAAACTGGAAAGATCAATGAATGTTTTTGTGGATGAATATTTTAATATTTTCTGTTCTTATGGTTGTTTTGTAACAACTCTATCACAATTTTTGAAATTCGATCTATGAAATTCACTGAATATATAGTTCTCATATTATGGACATGTAGGTTTAAGATTGTGGATGTATGGATATAAAATTATGAACATCTTACATAAGTATAAACATACCGTTCAAATATTCATATATTCATATTTCAAGAATTATGGACATATAGGTTTAAGATTGTGGACATATTGATATAAAGTTGTGAATATTCGTTCAACTGTGAACTTACATTTTACATAAGTGATCAAGTTCACCAGTTTACATATTGATATATAGCTTCAATATTGTGGATATAATGATATAACATTATGAACACTTTTACTAATTTGACACACAATTCCAATATTTTGTGGTCATATAGTTCTCAGAATTATGGACATATAGGTTTAAGATTGTGGACATATTGATATAAAGTTATGAATATTCGTTCAGCTGTGAACTTACATTTTACATAAGTGTAAACATCAAGTTCACCAGTTTACATATTGATATATAGCTTTAATATTGTGGATATAATGATATAACATTATGAACACTTTTACTAATTTGACACACAATTCCAATATTTTATGGTCATATAGTTCTCAGAATATGTATGTATAGCTCTAATATTATGGATATATAGCTTTAGTATTATGGATATGTAGCTTTAATATTATGGATATATAGCTTCAAACCTGCAAATCAACAAGTACTAAAATTTTGAATACACAGATCAAACAACTTGTAAATTGATATCCTCAAAACAGCTAGCTACCAACTGGTATTAACCCCACTCTCAATCTACAACTGCATTATCATCTACATCATTACTATACTGACAAAACTCCGAACTCCCAGAACTTGGATGTACAAGGTACCCATCCCCGGCAATCTCAGATAGACTTTCCAAAACCAACGACTGAACAGCACCTTTTGTACTCGAAGCAACTTTATTTGCAGCACTCCTCCTCCCCCTTGCAGCACTGTACTTCTTTTCAATAACACTACTCCTCCTTACGTTACGCTCACCTTTTGATCTCCGGTTTGAAGGATTTTGAATGACACCACTTGAAGATGAAACACCGCACTCTTCAATTTGCACATAGCCAATCTCAGCTTCAACCTTTTTCTTTGCTTCCTCAACTGCTTCATCACAGAACTGCCTAGTTACACTGTTATCTTGACTAGATGAAATCAATCTTTTAAACTTTCTGCAAATCTCCACAACCCAAATTGAAGGAGGGACACCAGCTCTACAAAACATTGAACCAGTATTCACATCCCTACCATCAACAACCTTTTTAGTCCACCTTTTCATGATATATTTGTTAGGAATACTTGAAACACAGTGTATATGAAGAATGCGTAAACAATGGCAGCATACAATTCCTAACTCCGAAATCAACTTGCAACTACACGAAATGTCTAAGGTTGACAACTTAAAACTGACTTCATGCCTTATAATATCTATATCTGGACGCCATACGTGATACTTGAACTGACAACCTTCATTCAACACCATTTCTTGATGACAGGCATTGCCTTTCATGAATTGTTCCTCAAACAAAAAATATATCTCAATCGTATATACCTCTCTAGCGTGTAACAGAAGTTTCACGTGCTCCATCATCATGTTGGGTACCCCTTGAGTACAACGAAAGTCTTCACCATTCTCTTTGCTCCTCCATTCAGAAGTTACACTAACAAACGATGAATAAAAATCACATAGACCTGCAGTCTTGGACAACCTTCTTGAAATCGAATGGTTAGTAGTTTCACTCCTTTGCGATGATAAAATGCCCCCTGAAAAATAGTCCTTATTGAATGCTGGACACCACTTCTCCCTACAGTCATACAGCTTTTGTATCCAACTATTCTTGTGGCACTTGTAGTCAGTCACCAACCTGAAATGATAAGATATATGTTCAGAACTCTAATGCTATATATCCACAGTTCCAATATAATAAAACCACAAATTGAATGCATATAATACAAACAGAAAGCTCACTGCTTCACTACTACATGTTCAGACAACTAATACTATATATCCATAATTGTAATATTATATATCCACAATTCCAATACTATAAATCCATAAATTGCATGCATATAATTTAGAGACAAACAGGAAGCTCACTGCTTCACTAATACATGTTCAGACAACTAATAATATATGTCCATAATTCTAACACTGTATATTCACAATTCCAAAACTATAAATCCATAAATTAAATGCATGTAACTCAGGAAAAATCAAGAAGTTCCATTCTATACTACAACATGTTCACATAATTCTAATACTATATATTCATAATTCTAATACTATATAACCATAATTCTAATACTAAACATCCATAATTCAATTACTGGAATCGAAAAAGGAAAAAAAAAAAGTAGTGGACATACCTTGTCCAATAAAATTCAAACTCAGCTTCAGTCTCTGTGTATTTCAACACACAGTTAAACATATCTAAGAAATCCTTGTTATTCCTTAACGCCTTGATATGCTTCTTCGAATTCTCGCCAATATGCCATATGCAAAGACGGTGACGTGATGTTGGAAACACCTGACAAATAGCAGCAGCCATGGATGCACATTGATCTGTCATGATAGTCTGTGGACATTTCTCATTCATAGACCTTAAAAATGCTCTAAACAGCCACACAAATGATTCTATCCTCTCATTCATCAGAAAACCACATCCAAACATTACATTCATGCAATGGTGGTTCATCCCTACAAAAGGGCCACAAATCATATCATATTTATTAGTGCGATAAGTTGTATCGTGCACTAATAAATCCCCAAACAACTCATAGTCTTGTCTCATCCGACCATCCCTCCAAAAAAAACTGCATAGTCTTGAATCACAATCAACTTCAAAATCAAAGAAAAAATCAGACTCAGTCGACTGCCTCTTCCTAAATATTTCAATTAATGAGTTCGAATCGGTTCCATCCAAACGCTTTGATGTATCAGAAGCAATTGAATTATAAGCATCTCGATTAGTGAAGCCAACTAATGGAGACCCCCCTGCTTGATGTTTCAAGAACCTAATACCATCTGCCATTGCAACACCACTCTTCTTCAAATCTTTTAAATATAACAGTTGATTATCACCCACATTTCTATGTGAACGCAGAAGATGACTCTTGTCTACAGCACATAACTCGTGATTGTGCACTTTTACATGTTTTGTAACCGTCCACAACCCATCCTCACCGACGTCAAACTGAACACATGCACCACACCCTGACCTTGTGTCAATTTTTGAATATGCCCTAACACCAGCATTTGCCTTAACCTTAAAACCAGCTTTAGAACACATAAACATCTTCATTTGGACTGTTTTGCTATATACCTTGCACCGTTGATTACCCTTCCTCACACTAAAACCAACTCTATATGCATAATTGTTATACAACTCATACGCTTCAACCCCGTTACTTACAACAACACCAACCAAATCTTCATCAACTGCAAATGCAATATATAACCTCAAGTATACTAAATAATACACGTTCCATTGAAAATATAATTCCTATGTAGAGGGGGTGCGGGGAATGCCGAATAAATCCAGCCATGCTCTACAAAAGGAATAACATTTTCCATGGAAAAAGAATGAACATATAACAATGCTGAACACTGTGAATTATGATCATATAAAACTACATATAGACCTGGATTAGAAGAAGAACCATCAATGTCTAACTCTATTGGATCTGAACTTGGTGAATCAACAACAACATCTTCACTGACTGCATAGTGTTAAAAGCCAGAACAGAGTATCAGTTTAGAAATTTGTGGATGTATAGTATTATAATTCTGGATGTATAGTGATAGAATTCTGGATATAAAGCTCACAGTTTCTGGACATAAAAGTTCAATAATTATGGATATACAATCCAGAACAGAGTATCCATTCACAAAATCCTTGATATATACTACTATAATTCTGGATATATAACTCACAACTTCTGGATTTATAGTTCAAAGATTATGGATATATATTTCGTTCATTCAGAAAACCATAAACACATAAACACCAAGAGTTACGAATGATCTCAGACTAGAATCACATAAACATCACATACACAATAAACATCACACTAAATATAAACACCTACACAATATATCACACTGCAAAAATTGCAAACGACCACAAATCCATAAAAATCAAACTGCAAAATAACCTGGAACCGTATGCAATTCATCGCCTGCTTCATCTCTCTGATCTAATGCCTCGTCTCTCTGGTCTACTGCATCATCCATCATGAGATCCATACAATAAATCAGGAAAACGATACTGCAATCAAAACGCCAAACTACCAAAAAATCGCAAAACTACCAAATATGATATGAATAACGCCGCTAACGGCCATCCAATTTTTTTTTTTTTTGATTTTGTGCGCGCCGTGTCGTTTTTTAGTAAAACGGCGCCGTTTTGCAACCGTATGCACCTTGCTAGGTGCATTCGGTTGCACGGCATAATTTGCGCTCATAAAATCCTTAAACACATATAAATGAAATATGAAAAAATTAAATGTTATTATTCCAGATTGTGCATCGTTAAATTTAACTAAATGACTTAAAAAATTAAATAATGGACGGTAGGTTATGCAAGTTATTTTGAGCATGTAGTACGTATAAAGTAAATGTAAAACTATATGTCTTTATCTATCAAGTAAATGTAAAACTATAAATTAAATAATGGGTAGTATATCTAGAAAGAGAACAGACACAACTATATGTCTTTATCTATCCACTTGAGATGCGAGTAATTGTTGACCATGTAGTACGTATAAAGTAAATGTAAAACTCGGACCGTAATGGTCCAAGTTTGACTTTTAAAAAAAAAAAGAAATTGTAATTCCGACCATTTTGGTCCGATTTATACAAATTAATTTTGTGAAATTTGATTTTGTGAAATTCGATCCAAAATGGTCTGAGTTTCGGCTTTAGAAAAAAAAAATATAGTTACATAAGATAAAATTGAGATATGTAAAATTGAGAGTTTAAAAATATACATATTTAAAATGCAGTTTACATATATTTTTTGTTGCCTCTTACATATTTAGTTTATGTACTTGAAATATGTAAACTACATTTTAAAATGCAGTCTCCACGAGTTTTTGAGTGTGTTAAAAACAAAAATTATATGTTTGTCATTCGGACCATTTTAAAAAAATTGTGAAATTCAGACAAAAATGGTTCGAGTTTCGTGTTTCAAAAAAAAAAGAAAAAGTGACGTCCAGAGTGGTGTAGTCCGATTTTCGGACTTCGAATTTAATTGTTCTTAATTGCCGAACTTGTTATTCGAAGTTGTTTTAATGTTTTTAATTTGTAAGTATTATGAATTGTTTTGATACAGGTATGGCAAATGACCGAGTGCATCCCGGGCCACTACAGGAGGGTGCGTTACCATTCCAAACCCGTCATCGTAGTAGAGCAATTTGGACGGATCCAACGTATGACGTCCAACTTAAAGCCGTTAAATACGATACGTTGACTAGGTGTGCAGCCGTGAATGATGATAGAGTCAAAATGTGGCTGCGAATCGCTGGTTTGTATGGTGTTTCTCAGTTGCCCAAAATTCAGTTGGATCATGGGCTTATTACTGCCCTTTTAGAGCGATGGAAGCCGGAGGTCCACACCTTCCACATGCCCTTCGGTGAGGTTGGAATAACTCTTCAAGATGTTGAAGTGTTATTCGGCCTTAAGGTCGATGAACTTTTAGTGACAGGTGAGGATACCATGGCACTCCGGAAGAAGTAAAGTTAATGTGCCTTGAGTTGTTGGGATTTGAGCCTGCCAATAGGTTCCTGTCAACGACCATGATTCACGGGTCAGCTGTCTTGGATGTTCAGGCTCTTCATCCAGACAGTACAGACGAAGAAGTGTTGTTAGCAGCCCGGCGTTTTATATATTATTTATTAAACTGTTTTTTATTTCCCGACGCAACGAAAGGGAAATATAAATTGTACTTGCTCCCGTACGTTAGTAATCTGTACCTTTGTGGTGAATATTCTAGGATGTGTTTACAGGGCGTTGTGTATAGTTTTCGAAGCCGACAAACATACAGTGTATGGGTGTCTTCTTCTAGTCTAGATTTGGGCATGGGAGAGGCTGCCTATGTTTCAGCTGAAAGGTGTATTGCTGCGCCACCAAATCGCTGACTACCCTATTGCATACAGGTAACGATCTCTAAATTGACTGCATCAATGTTTTAATATTGAAGTAGTAGTATTTATTTACTTTGATATTGTTGTAGGTAGGTTTGTCGGCATTCTTGGTTATCAGTGTCTACGCACACTGTCGTAGCCTATCGCGATCAATTAGATCGCGTAGCTGAACACAGAGTAAATAATTTTATTAATATGAATACCTTTACATGGAATATTATTGTAGTCAGTTCATATTTTATACACTGCGTATTTTATGTTAACATCGTGACATTTATATTTCGTAGATAGTTTAATTTCACCCCTTACGATGACTATCTTGATGCCTTGCCCCCATATTGCAAAGCGGGGAGGATTTTGTGGACTGCCCGTGTTCCGCTTATTTTTTACCACGTGGTGGAATATCATCAGCTTGACCGGTTCTGCAGGCAATTCAATGGTTTGCAGGTTGTGCTAGCAGACGTGGTATACGACCAACGGTTGCACGATATGGACCAACGGGGTAAGTCTCGGACTAATTGGTTACTAAAACACGCAAAGCACGTGGCCCGTTGGAATGCTCGGTATGATTTGGTTATCCACATGCAAAGAACTGATCGACTGCAGGTTGTGGATGGGTACCGCACATGGTACTACATGCACGGTCGACGGCTTATTGGTAACCAAACATATTATAGTAACCAGAGATTCGTACAGTGTGCAGCATCACTGAATGATGTAGTTAGTATATTACAAATGTTTTGCAATAAATGGAATTGATTTAGAATTGTTATTATTTTATTCGTAACAATTCCTAACGCATTTTGTTTAAATTAGATGCATGCTTTCAACCGGTTGATGTTAGATTCCGGGCAAGTCCTCGACAATCCTGACGCCGTTCGCGATTCTTTCATTAGGGATATTCAGCAGCGGAGTACTGATTTGTTGATCAATACTGAGTACGAGTTCTTATTGCACGTGGCGCCGCATCAATACTTTGGGGCCCCGATACCGGATGAACCATTTGGCCCTCAGGACGTGTAGATAGTCGTTGAGACAGTGGATCAATTCGGCGTGCAGATAGGCGGTTACAAAAACTAGTGTGGGAAGCTGGTATTGCTGTGACAAGGGATCAATTCCTTTAACTCATGCATGCAATCCAAATTAAATGGCCGGCTGCATACGCCTATCTTGCCGACATTGATGTCGAGGAGTGGACATTATCTCACGACGATGGTCACTGGTACGGTATCATGACAACCAATCCGTCTGAGTCACTAAATAATTCACTAAAGTGTTGTCGGATGTTACCCGTCACGGCAATAGTTCGAATGACTTTTCACAAGTTATTTGCCGACAGGCGTACTGCGGAAGATGGGATGCAACAACACGTCCTGCGATTCACGACAAATATTACCGATGATTTGTCAGCACGAAACAATGAGGCAAACGGTGCAAGCGTTCAAAGTTTCAATGACGCCCTCGGATTCTATGGTGTTGCCCTAAATACTGGTTATGTTTCCCAAAGTCAACATAATCACTTTCAAGTAAACCTTAGCTTACTGAACGTACGTGTAACTGCGACTTGTGGAACGTCAACGACTTACCTTGTGCACATGTGATTCCATTTCAATTCCCATGTATACCAACATTATAATTGAAATTCCCAATAAAAAATTCTCACTTTATTCTCAGTAATTCATCTCCTATGGAATTGTAATTCCTTTTCCACGAAATTCTCCCTCTCCAACCAAACACCTTATTAGTGTTGATTTAGGAGAATGAAATTTGCAGTTACATTATATGCGTAAAATTATTTAGTATTCCATTTACATGAAAATAATGTCATTTCAAAATATAGTTAATCGGAAATTTTATTTAGATGCATATATATTTTAGAAGTCCAATTTAAAATAATTTTTCTTACAAATTTTTGAAATAATAGTTTTACTCTAAAGGAAAAACAAAACACAAATATTTTAAATACATATATTTGTGTTTAGAAAACACAAATATATCATCACTTGTCTGTATTTTAAAGGAATGTAATTGGTTTCTACATTAAAAAAAAAAAAAAATTACATCAGATTCCTGTATCATCATTTGCCTATACTTAAAGTGTTAGTATTTGCTCAAATAGAAGAATAAATTAATATTGTGTCATAATGTAAGGGAAAAAGAAAAAAGAATAAAGTTTAAGAGTAACATACATGTTGCACAATACCCAATTAATACATGTACAAATACAGAACAACTATACATATATGTCTCTTATCAAACATTAATTGTTGATGGTAAGATTTGACTAATATGGATTATTTTTTGATAGTGACTTCTCTTCATCTCTACAATTTCCTATCTATATATACATAGCATTTTTATTGCAAGGGAATGTGAGATACATTCCCTTTTCTTAGGTATTCTCACATTCCATTATGTTATTGCTAATTTTGTCATTTTAATATGTTGCCTAAGTTAATTATTGTTCAAACTCTTAATTAATTGTCAAACACATTGTGCTCAGATGTCATGTAGTGATTTTTCTATATGAGAGGTCATGAGATCAAACTAGCTTTAGTGGAGACGGTGTTAACTTTTTGTACAAAACTCTTAGTTAATTAATTTTACATCATTTATTTTTATATTTCAACATTGTCTTATTTATTTATTTTAATTTTAAATTTAATAAAATCTATATATATATAAAAGTAAAATCCTCCTAGCCAAATTTTCCCCCCCAAAATTTAGTGGCATTTTTGCAATATTAAATATTTAGACAAATATGGCATTTCAATAATATTAAAGATTTTACCTTTCTTGAGATCTCTTACCATTTTATAATTTCAATACTAAACCCTTTTGATATCATCCATTGTGTATAAATACACCTTATATGACCATACACAACCCCAACTAAGGTTAATTATTTCATTGATTTTGCCTAATCATCCTGTGATCTTCCACAGTTGAGGTTGATACGTGATTTGCACGGTGGGGTTTTCATTATCTTAGTTTCTTTTATTTTTTCTTCTTTTTGGGTTTTGTTTTGTTTTTTTTTTTTTTTGTATTTTCTTATTTTTAAACAACAAAAATGGTTCGTAAGAAAAACATGTTGATATATTCTTTTTTTTTTGTCTATTTTTGTGGAGAAGATACGGATCTAGAAAGATTGATCGGGAAGCAATAGACTTCTAATCATCATGTGATCTTCCACAGTTGAGGTTGATACGTGATTTGCATTGGTGAGGTTTTCATCATCTTAGTTTCTTTTATTTTTTCTTCTTTTTGGGTTTTGTTTTTTTTTTTTTTTTTTTTTTTTTTTTTTTTTTTTTTTTTTTTTTGTATTTTATGGTTTTTAAACAACAAAAGTGGTTCATAAGAAAAAATGTTGATATATATTTTTTTTGTCTATTTTTGTGGAGAAGATACGGATCTAGAAAAATTGATCGGGAAGCAATAGAGTTCCTTGCTCATCAAGATGATAAAGTTTTGTGATCGAGGGATGAATTATGTCTATATGTAAATAGATATAGACTTACAGAAGGAAGCATACTAAGAATACAATAAAAACCAAAATGAAATTAAAAGCATTTTTTAGTTGTCAATATATCAAAGCGTTGGACTTTGTTTCGATTCAATTTCTCCGTCTTTAAACTGTACATTTTTTGTAATAAGAGAGTAGTTTGTCTCTCCCTTCAAGACGTTTTTCTTGTCATTAATTTTTTTTTTTTTTAGGAAAAAAATGATTAAGTATTGTGGCTTTTTTTTTCAATAGAGTATTATTTTGATTTTATTCTTCATCTGACATTCCTTGATATAAAATCACTTTACTAATGTAAAATAATGTTATTGACTTACCATGTTTGCTTCGATATGCTAAGCCATTTAAAATTTAATACGTAGTAAAATTTATAATTGTAATACTTCCGTAATAATATTGAATAAATATTAATCATATGTTTAGATTTAATAATATATTATATTAAAACAATTATATATTAATTTAATATAAGGATGGTTAATACGGGTAAACCATATATAAGCAATATTGTACCTTAAGAATATTATACCTTAATTATAAAAATTCTACCTAATAATTTTAGTATTAAATGTCATACAATAATTACCATAAACAATGTTTAATAATTGCCAAATTCTATTATGCAATAAAAATTACTATTATAAAATCTTTTTTAATATTAACCCATTATTTTTAATTATTTCGATTTAATAATATTATATCTTATGTATAAAAATTCAAATAATACTTTTAGTACTATTGAATATTGATTGACTAACAATTATTTTAATTATTAAGGCAATTAATAGATATTTCAATTTAAAAAGTTTTCAAATATATGAATTATACATAGTAGCATGGAATCAATTAGTAAGACAATTATATTAGGTAATCTAATAAATAATTTACTTTTTAAATTATATCCCCTCTTTAATAAATTATACTTACCTTAATAATTAATTATTAATATTATTACCTAATAATTATATATTGGTACCTTTTTTGGTGTAATTATTATGGTAATTTATATACATATATATTTTTATACTTAATGTATAATATTATTTGCATGAAATAAATTATACTTACCTTAATATATAATTAATTTTTAATATAATTACCTTATTTTTATTAAAGGTAATTATTATGATAATTTTTCTTTCATTATTTTGTGTGATTATTATGGTAATGTATTTAAATTTTGGAAGAGATTATTACAAATATTATAATTAATATAAGTAATATAATTAATGAAATTATTATGGTAATTGCCACAATATTTGGTAATTATAATTAATATAATTAAAGAAATTGAGAAATATAAGATTTCTTCCCTAGAAATATTTGTGACAATTTCATTAAATTACAATTAATAAAATATGAAATATAATTAAATAAATGAAATTATTAAATTAACAAAACATGAATATTTCTAATTATACATACACTTATGCACTATAATAATCATGCAAAATTTAAATGCAAATTTTTAAATTTTTAAATGTAATTTTTTAATTATAAATCTATCAATATAAATTATAGTTAATGAAATTATATTATAGAACTTTTCTATATACATATTAATAAATATTATGTGTATATACAATGAATTATACAATCATATAAGAAAATGCGTCGGATTAGAGTTTAAATTTATTCATACAAAATTTAGAATTTACATTTTTTTTATAAAACTAATCAAATGTTAATGTTAATAATAATAAGAAGAAGAATTTTAAAATCAGAATTATAAATTAAGTATTAAGGTAATAATTAATCTATATATATTATATATTATATTGTATTATATTGTTATTATTATTATTATTATTATTATTATTATTATTATTATTATTATTATATAAAAACAAAATCATTCCTTTTCAAAAAAAAAAAAAAAGAAAAAAAAAAAAAAAAACAACAACAACAACAAAATCATCCTATTTCATTTTCCCGCCCAAACTTTTGTAGTAAAGCTTATTTGGTAAGTAAATGTCAAATGGAAATTAAATAAAATCTATTAATTAGTAATATTTCATAATTGATAACATTATGTATATCCTATGCAATAATGTAATAATAATAAAATAAAATTAAAATTAAAATAATAACAATAACAATAACATACCAATAATAATAATAATAATAATAATAATAATAATAATAACAACAACAACAACAAATGTAATAATCCAAACAAAACTATATACAAAATAAATTTAAAATTAAAAAAAAATAGGAAGAAGACAAAGGTGGCTCCCATTTGTAAATGATTTGGGATCATTTTGATTCCACATTGGAAATGTTTGGAAAGATGAGCTCTTAAACTCCTCTATATAAGAGGGGCATTTACAAACATATAATTGCTTGCCCATCAATATGGGCAAGTATTGAGAAGTCCAAAGACTTTTTTTATTTTTTTTATTTTTTTTTAGTACTATTAACCTGACAAATTATGTTGTGGATATGTGTCCACCTTGCAATGTAGACACATTTCAAAAATTGTTCATAATTATTAATATATAGTTCAAAAATTATGAACATATAGTTCTATAATTATGAACATAGTGTTGTGAACATAATTATGAACATATAGTTATGTAATTATGAATATAGAGATTCAATAATTGTGAATATG